TCTGTTTCTTCTTCTTATTGTAATTTTATTTATTTTTTTGTGCTTTGAACATGTCCTTTTTGCAACTTTTGATCCACCAGATAAAAGGGATGGCGTTGGTCATTATTGTGTAGTTGCGTTAAATGTGAAAGAAAGGCGGTTTGAATTTCTTGACTCGCTCAATAAACCTGGCAGCCCTGATACGATCAGGGTTTTTAGGAGGATGGTTAAAAATATCAAGCGTGCATGGAAAGAAGGAAGCCCAAGTTCTGATGAGCCGCTAAATCCTCCTACACTTGATGGATTTGTGTTGAAACATGTCATTGTCCCAATGCAGCCTAATGGGTGTGTTCCGTACAGCCCCTCTTCACCATACTGCTCATGTTTTTTTTTAATTTTTCATTTTTTTGAAACTGATGTTTTTTATTCTTTTATTTGCAGGCACGATTGTGGATTCTATATGTTTCAATTCCTGCAGACTTGGGATGGTGTTCGAGTTGCTCAGTTTGGGGTGGAGCACATTGGCTACATCAGAAAGGCCATGCTCTATAGTTGGCTCACATCGAGAAAGTGTTCCCTTGATTTAACATCACTTTTAATTTTTGCAGATAAATGTTGTTTTAGTGAACTTCTTTATCCTTCCTTTATTTATTTTTTGCCTACTGCTTGCTTCCGGTTCATATGGGCTTTTTTTAATAGTGTGTTTAGTTACGTTTGTGATTTAGATTGTATGTGTATTTTTATTTGTTGTGTTAATGAGTTGCATTTTTTATTTTTTGGTCAAGTGAGCTGCATTGTTCTTTACAAGTGGGTTGCATTGTTGTATACATTTTTTATTCTGCATTGTTGTGGACAAGTGGACTGCATTGCTGTAGACAATTGTGCTGCATTCTATTCTTTAGTGAACTGCATTTTTATTTTAATGAGATGTATTACATGTTTTTTGGTTTTGTATTTTTTTGTGCTGAGTGTTTCCATGTTTTTTCTTACATGGTTTTAGGTTTTGATGGGGGGCTTCATGAAGGCTGTACGTCACTGTTTGAGTCCCAGGGTTCTGATGTGGTTATGGAGGATTGCACCATTGAAATCTCTCCAGATAATTCTGGTTCTTTGGCTGGAGATGGTTTGAACACAGCTGTGGCTTCTGGACCTGATGGTGGAAGTGTTTCTCGCCCTAGCTCCCCATGTGATGTGTTTGATGTTGATGATGATGATTTTGTTACGCCATGTCCTCGCGTCACGAGGACTCGGAGTGCAGCAATTAATCGTCCTCCTGTGGATGATGTTGAAGTTTTTTCGAACAAGAGGGCAGGTGAGAGGGCTTTTAAGTTGAGATGCTCTATAGAGAAATTGAAGCCTCCAAGGTTCAAATATATTGATGAGGCGAGGAAAATAAAGGATCTTGTTCTCAGCAAAGAATTTGTAACCAAATACCATGAGTAAGTTTTTATGTGTGTGCCCTTGATTCTTTTTGTGTGTTTTGGTTTTAATTTTAATTTTATTGATCCCATCTCTGTATGTTTACCGCGGGAATGCGTTCTTTATGGTGACCACTCCTTTTGGTGATCATGATACTTACACTGTTGACTATATCTATAATACATTTGGCAAAGGAGCTTTAATGGATTCGTATCTCATGGATTTTATCATCAAGTACTGGAAGCAAGACCCTGAAATGGGTTTAGTTTATCATTCTGGTGAACGTGTGCTACTTTCACCCTTATTTATCACGGTAAACATGTGTTGTCATTTTTTTCTATTTGGTACTGTTTTTTTATGTCCATGCCTGCATGCACTGTTTATTCTTTTTTTCATGTCCTTTCTTTGTTCTTTTTTATTTGCAGTATGTTTTTCAGATGGAAAAATTTGTGACGAGAGATGAGAAGGAAACCCTGTGTTGCCAGTTGTGCATAGCACGTTTGTTTTAGAAGATGCAGTTAACCAGTTCAAGGCTTTTATGAGTGACGATGTAAACCTATTAGATGCAAAACTGGTAAGTTCATTGTTTCTCGTCGTTTATTTTTTCTGGTTTGTTGTATTTCTTTTTATAGTTAATTTTTGGAGCAGTGGTTCTAGTGCTACGTGTCGAAATAAGTTTTCATTTTTTGTTTTTTTGATGTGAACAGATTATGATGCCGCGCTCCAAGGATGGTCATTATTCCTTATACACGATGAACCAGCATCGCCAGACGTTTGATATCCATGACACTAGGAAGTACACTGGCCATCCTGATGTCATGACAAAGTGGCGCAGGAGTGATTACCATTCAGATTGCATTGAAGTGGTATGTCATTTTTTCTTGCCAAGTGCAAAGCTTTTTTGTGTTTCTCCTACTGCATTTTTTGATAAACTGCACATGCAATGTTAGCACACATAGTACCACACTTGTTTATGTAGTGCACTGCAACATACGCGTGATAGAACTGCATTTTTCTCAGACCCCCCATAATCCTTGTAAAAAAGGAGATAAAAGGAAACAACCTCATGTGCATTTAAAAGAGGCACTGTCTAGACGTCAAAAACAACTTTTGTATCTGAAATGTAATTTGATCTGTGGTGTGTGTTATTTTTACATTGTGCTTCCTTTTTTTGCCAGATGAGGAGGATGACTCAGTTGCTGAAGGCGATTATGGTGAAAAAATGTGTAAATCTAAGAACCACCCTGACTGGGTTAAATTGGCAGAGAAGCCCTCTTACCCGGTCGTGCTCTAGGGTTGCGTGCATCCTATTGTTGGAAAAACAAAATTTCCGCACTGCGCCTGTCAACCAAGCGCACTACGTGCGTTAGCGCGAGGCCGAGCAGGGGGTGGGGAGTGGGGGTCGTGACCCCC